CTTATTCTTATCCTTTTTAAAAGTGTCATCAGGCATTAGCCAATAGCGTCGATTCGTGATTCGATTCAGAGACTCGATACCGACCGGTAACAATAATGGGGTCTGAAAATTTGAACCGAATACTTCGTACTTACTAGTACGTACAGTGATCCCTCAACGTTTGCTCCCTGGTATAAATTTATACTCCGTTAAATTTTATTCGATATTAATTTACTAAGGGCCTTATGACATGCATGCATCGTTTGAAAATTCAAAATTGAGGAGCCAACACCTCATATTGACAACTACACACACAAAGACATTTGAGAGCCAATGGATGCCGGTATCATCGCTGCGTTCAAGAGCCACTACAAGCGTCGTCAAATGGATCATGTTTTAGACATCATTGATGATCCTACCGTCGAGTCCGGTCGCGAACCAAGAAACTTGTACGCCGTGGACGTGCTCACGGCAATACGTTGGTCGGTTTCCGCCTGGAATTGCGTCACATCAACGACCATTCGCAACTGCTGGGCTCATACGGGGGTTCTACCTCGGAACTTGGGCCATTCACTTCAGCTTTTGCTTACTGTTAATTGACCAGCAGATAGTCACCCTTCAAAGTTAATGTTCGTGGTTTCTTTGTACAATAGGCTGACTTGGAAAATTTATATTTGGAAAAGCGAGCAAACGTTGAGGGATCACTGTACTTCGAAGTATATACTAGTACTACGTAGTAGTAGTTAATAGTAGTACGTAGTACTATTAATAGTATAACGTTATACTTCGAAATACTTTTAATATTACAATACTGTTATTTATAATACTTAGTATATATTAATAGTAGAAATAGTAGAAATAGTACTATTAATAGTAATAGTAGTACTCAGTAGTAATTAATAGTAGTACTGTAGTAGTTAATACTATTAATAGTACTACTATTACTAAGTACTAGTACTTCGTATTAATAGTACTAAGTATTATAAATAACAGTATTGTAATATTAAAAGTACAATTCACAGCACAGTATTAATATCAATAGTACATCATCGTAAGTCTAACGGATTTGATTGGGTGGAGTACTGTATTATGAATATTTTGAACGTTTTACATGACATACAGAACGAGTTCAAAATTCTGAACTGGCCATCCATGCCAAGACCGAAGGGCGACAGGGCCGGCGTCATGTCGAAGAAGCGCCCGCTTCGAGAAAAGCTGGCCATCGTGGAGGAATGGGAAAAGTCTGGGGGGTCCAAGTACGTGGTCGCCAAGAAGTATGGACTCCAGAGCAGCCAGATCACGCGGTGGGCGAGGAACAAAGCCACCTTGGTCGAGCGTGCATCGGCGCATCCCAACAACTTGACGCTGCATGTCGGTCGCTGTGTGACCAACCCCGATGCCGAAGAAAAGCTGCTTGCAATCTATCGACATCGGCGGGAGAATGACTTGCCAATGACAGCGAACATTCTCATCGAACAAGTGCTCACGATCGATCCCAACTTCCACCACGGCGCAAAGAAGGCCTTGACCAGTTGGGTGTATGGGTTCATCGAGCGAAACAAACTGGCGGTGTCCCGTTCAAAGCGTAATTCCGTGACGGAGGTCGCCACTCGTCGCGCGTCGGCCAAGCCGCGCAAGTCGACCACATCAACGACTGCTGCACGTCCAAAGGCCCCGATCGCAGGTGATGATGGTAAGGATGGCCAAACGTCGAAGCAAGCGAAGGGTGATGTTATCAAGGGCAACCACACGGAAGAGAACTCGCTGCTGCAACCGTCAACCGACACGGCGGAAGACTTGTCCGCGGCCGCATGCCGTCACGTCCGCTTGTTCAAGGACGCCTTGGGCTCCGAGTATTATTATGCTGCGTTGGATCTGCTGTCGGACCCTGCCGTGGCGAGGACATTCATGGTCATGGGTGACGACGATCGACTTGGGTGGTTGCAGTGGAAGTTGACCAAAGCAGCTTCGTCATAACTGGTTGGAGTTATAATGTGATGTTGCTGAGTTGCTCGATTCAAATGTCCTTCAGCTGACCACGTCACAGATGCGTATCCACCGGTAGTAGATATGGATGGCATATCCAGTAGGAAATCGTCATCCTCGTAGGGCTACGCAGGAAGCCTATTTCGTGAAGTCTGGCTACACTTTATGGGATCTCATCCAAGCACTGACAGTCGTCCGAGTCCCTTCCCCTTCTCATACCATCCATCCAAAATGGTAAGTCGTGTCAACCTCTCACGCTCTTTCTACAACTACTGCAAGGCCGGCCGTGGCACCGCCGCAGACCCGATGTAGCTCATCGAAATGCACATGTCATGACGATCTCCATCGTCATGTCACGTAATGTGTATGGCCTGTATGTGGAGGAGAACATCATCAGCATGAGTAGTGAGTAGCTGGCTGCTGTAGTCGTGCTTCACCTCAAAGTTGAATTGAATCGACAACTACTGACCTCAATTGCTAATGTTAGGTCCTCACCACGTCGATTCGATCCAAGAATGTACCAGGTCTACTCAACGTGCAGAACATGGAGCATCACGAAGTCATGATATGGTTGATGATGTAACATCCTGACGAGCGAGCCTCCACTGGAGCCATCCGACGCGGTCCGCCGTCCCCACCACCAAGAATGCGCGCGCCGCGGTGGCATCCGTGAGCATGTCCACAGCGTCAAAATAGCGATCTCCCAGGGCTTCTTTCAGCGCTTGCACTTGATGGCAAGCGTCCTTGGACAAGTTCATGCCTATGACATGGTCTGACAGCGCCGCGACTTGGTTGGATGCTCCGTCCGCGTGTGGTGATGGGTTGGCAGGCTCGAGTGCGGTGCTGCGACGAGTTGACGTGGCAAAGAAAGTGGACTGGTCTTCCGGGGACATGGCCTGGTATGCGACCCACATCTTGGGATGTTGTGTGGCGTTGTGGTGTCGGTAGTTTTCAGGGCGATACGGTGGGACGTACACCTTGATCGTGGTCAGCGTTTTCCGAAGGGCCCTTCCTTGCCGCTCCTCCCTCCCGAAGTGAACGCAGAATCGGCACTGTACTGACACGGCCTCACCCTTGGAGTCCCTCGATCGCACGTGCAGGCCATACATCACACCATGCTTCTCTTGGAACGGCGTCTTGCGCAAGCTTGACTGTTTCACTGTCAATTCGCTTGTCTTCATCGCCTGCCACGTCCAAGTTGGCACAATGCGTTAGTTTAGGTCATGTTCCTGTTAAAACAAGGATTTATCGAAACTAAAATGCCTGGATTAACAGAAATCGGCAGTTGATTTCCTCTTCACGGGAAATAACCTGGCATCATAATTAGGACATCAACCAGGAAATCGGTTTGTCACGATGGGAGTCAACCAGGAAATCGGTTTGTCACGATGGGAGTTATTCTATAATAACAGTGTATAACAATGTAAATATAAATATAATGCCAAACACGGAATCAATTATATTACGTTAATCAGCACGTGGGAGTGTAGGGCCAATCCCCCCCGCCTGATCGTGGAAACAAGGACGTCGACGAGGTCAACAAATTATACGCCGGATGAATAGCGCTAAGCTATTCATAGCTGTACCAACAGCTTCTTTCATCTATATGTACGATATATATATATATATATATTGGTCGAAACTATACTTCTACCACGCAAGCGACAACAGGGCAACGCTAGACGCGACCATGGACACAACTGCGACGCGGTTGGCCGCCGATGTGGCCGCGGGGGTCGAGTTTTGGGGGATCGAGTCCGAGAACGCGCACGTTTGGAACGCTCCGTTGGACAAGTGGAAGCACGACGCGTTAAAGTTGGCTTTCGATATGCCAATGTCACGGTAGATGTGGTCGTCGATGTCGACGGCGTTGGCGATGAGGGACCCCTTGACGCACTTGCCGTCTTCGAACAAATCGAGGAGGCGAATCGAGCTGTACGTGGCGTTGGTCAGCACGGGGAACTTGCGCACCCACGAGAGAAGGGCGTCGGCCGGCTTGGCGCACGAGCCAGGCACGTTAGGTTTGACGAACAACGTAGTTACGGCGGCGCCCGTGGTCGACGTGAACGAGTTGCCATTGACCGCGGCACATCCTTGGTCGTTGGGGATTTGAAGCGCCGTGAGCCCGCGACCTGTTAGCGCCACCACCGACGCGTCCGAAGTGTTAGTGTTGCCGCGGGTGAAGCTCTTGACCCACGAGAACCCACACGTTTGATTGGCGGCGCCGTTGAACCCAGGTGTTTGGATCGTGCACACGACGTCTGTGGCCTTCTCGACCAAGTTGGCCAGCAACACGTCGGGGGTTTCGCCAGTCAGCGCCTTCACTTCGGCCATCATGGCTGAGCAGCAAGGGTTGCTGTTGATTTGCTTGAAGATGGCCGGCAAAATGCCAGCCTTGAGGCAGGGCACGGACTTGGTCAGCGGTGTGCAGATCTTTTGTACGTCCGAGTCGGGGAAGCTGAGAAAGTACGACTCGTACGACGACGACACTTTGATGTTGTCATCGTCCTTGGTACTGCTGCCGTTTTTGGGGACGAGGTCGCCGCCAGTCGGCGACTGAAACGCTTGCATGAGCTGAATCAGATAAGGCGCCGCCGCCAAGCACGTGGGTTGGGCCAATAAAGTAGCCGTCACGTCCGCGGTGATAGTGTTCTCGTTCAACGTCCCAAGGCAGCCCACCCAGGACGAAGGCAGTTCCGACACGAGATCAGGCGGCAACCCCGTGGTTTTGACCAAGGCGTTCGAAGGATCCAGCTTCGTTGGGCAGTTCGTGCTGGTGGTGGTAGGGGAGTTGGTGGTTTGTGCATTAACGGCCGCGGCAACATATGCGACGAGGGCGAACGACGTCGTCTTCATGATGTTGTTTGTGTAGATGGTGAATCCAGGAATGACCATGCAATTGGGAATATCACCGTGAAACAGCTGGTTGTTTCGTCGAGAAATGTCGCATAATTCTGGCACGACCAAACGATTATGATATATCCCCTTTTATACTTGAATAATGTATTGATCCTTGTTTACACACACGCATTTGGCGAGTCATTTGCTAATTTTAAACAATCGCATACACATCGCAAGATATTATAATACTGTGAAGGTACTGAACGGAATCTATATCTTGCGTTTAATATGCTTCGTAGAACGGTCTAATCTAGACGCTTGTGGATTGATGAGGCCGCGCCAATTTTTTGCGATCCGTGCGATCCGTGTCAAGTGACTTGAGGAGAACCTTCGAGACTTGGGAAAATCAAGGAATGTCCACCTACATTCCAATTTGAATTAGTCACCCGACTCAATGTCAAACTGACTTACCGTTTGAATAGCTTTGTGTCCTACAGGACCTTCCCCTTCTTTGTTTTCCAGCAACGTTGTGTCCAACTCGACAAGAGCTTGGACAGACGCACAATATCTCAAGCAACCTTCGATGAGAATGCATACTGTATATTGATAGTACTGTTAGCTGCAAGCGATTGAAGGACATTAGAAAGGGCAAGTTCACTGTCACAGTAGTACTGGGGAGCGTAGTAGGGAATATGGGGGGATATACGTACCTATGGGATTTAACGATGGACCATAGTTTGAGCCGATTTACCTCCCTTGGCCCCTAATCGGATATACAGGGAAAATGGGGATTACCGTATCCGCAATTAACCCAAATATCCGGACGTAACGTTATCCTTATATGGTGCAAGAAGCCTGGAAACGACGATATTTTTAGCACTTTTTAGAGCGTTATAGTATTATTATTTCTTGGTAAATTAACCACAAAAACGGATAGATCTCGACAAGGCGAATCGATCAAAAACATTACTGTGAAGTATTGGGGTAAATAGAGAAATTTACAGGACGACACACCAGTACATCAGTGGGACTTGTTCCACATTACTTCTTGTGATTGTGAAGAAGTTGGAGCCCACAGAAAGGTAAAAAGAACTTAGCCCTTTTTGAACTATGGGCCCCCGCTCCCCCCCCGAGGGAGGGCCCCCGATTATGTGACCCTGGTGGCAATGCTCTCCTGTTGGTTCCTGATGTATACGTATAGGAAGCTGCATAACGTAAACACCATGCCATGTACCGTGCATCCTATCAACACATTTCCTGCGGCAACTGTAATACCATGGCTACATCAAGCTCCAGTTGACACCCGTGCCCATAACGGCAATGTCTTCATCCTCGTTAGCTGGTTCTAGTATAGTTTTATGACTCAGCACGCCACGTTAAGCACCCAGAAGCTCATGCAAAGCACGTCAAAGTACACAAGTTGACTTTGATCAAGTAATTGAAAAGGTGGTGTGTCCTTTCGAAAGATCCAACGGGGTTTTGGATGCGGTCATTGATTGGCTGGATTTTTCGAAGCTTGAAGCTGCCCATTTTGGCAGCGCAACGAAGTCCGCTCATGGATGCCCTTAAGAAGCGGCGGACGGAAGCGGCGGTGGAAGCGGTTCGATCGAAGAAGATGAATATCAGCGAAGCGGCCAAGGAGTTTCGTCTCCATCGCATGTACATATCACGCCGATTGCATGGGGACGTGGGCCTGTTTTCGATGCGCGGGCAGTCGAGTTTGCTCACACCACACCAAGAACAAGTGGTGCTGGACACGGCGCGCGCCAAGATCCGGCAGCACCGTCGGTGTTTGAGTCCCACCGAATTGGCGACCGTCATGCGCGAATGTGTCCAAGCCAGCGATTCCTCCCGGAAACTGCCCAAGAATTTCCCATCCCTTCGACAAGTGCGGAGCTTCGTCGACCGCCATCGAAAGAACGACCCGTCGCGACAGATTGTCACCGGCACCGACGACACGAAGCAACCAGTGCCTGGATTGCCTTGGGCTCCCGATGCAGTCAAAGCGTGCTGAATAACTTGAATACGAAAGTACAATGTTATGAAGGTCACAGCATCCTTCGTGCAGAAATGTACGCGTATGCTTTCGACTCCCTCCCTCCCTACATGTAGCCCAAACAAACCACCAACTCACTTGCATGTACATTGACCCTTTGGGTCACGGGAGGTCAACGTCATAGGTCGGAGCAAGCCCACGCGTCAACACGTTGTAGGCAAGGCATGACGGTTAGCTAGAATACCACGGCATTTTAAACCTGTGCAAGAAGTGTTGAATCGATATAGTACCACATGATTGATACCAATTGCCATATTGATACTGTACATACACAATGACTGTAAAGTACTACTTCATGATTTTCCAACGCCACTACTGTACCGATCCAACATGGCGATCTTGGTCTAAAAATAGACATTACGTTGGCATGGAATTTTGGTCACTTCATGGCGATTGGCACGGATGTGTTGACACATTTTACAACCATCCAAGCATGCGCTCGCTCGTGTACTGCTCTGCCGTGGCGGGCTTTGCCGCGCAGAAAGCAATGAGTTACTGCCCATTGCCGAGCGACGCTACGAGTCCGTTGTATGCTATGTATCGGGACAACAAAATGGACATGGCCCAACAAATGTTGGGGCTGCCGGATGCGTGGCTACGCTGCCTCGGTGCGATAGACGTGAATGCGATCGCTGGAACTATCCTCGCCTCCGCGTACTCGCAACCAATGTGTTTGGCCGCTCTATCCTTCGCCACGGCATGGTCTGACACCGTCCAAACCGAAGCCAAACGACTTGATTCCCCCACTGGCTCCTCTGTCGCTTTAAACGACTGGCCGGTTGTCACGAACGCAGCCGTCCAATCCACGTGCGTATCTATCATCAACGCTTTGATTCCGTGCCTTGGGGCGGCGATTCTGCCTCCGTTGGTGGACCAAGTGAAAACAAACCCCTGCTGTGCTGGTGCTGTGGCGAACGTCACCACCATGCTGGGTATGCCCCTCGACACCTTCGTCCTCAAACTACTTAACTACACGACAGATATCGTGTGCGCTACCCAATTCCCTGGGTTTAACGGCGCGACCAACCAAACCTGCGGCTTTTCGTGGTTCCAAGCCTTCACCAGCACCCAACCTGCGGGAAACGAGGCCCAACTTGTCGAACGCCTCCTTACGTCCCTGCAAATCCCCAACGACCAGGGCTGTGCCGCCGCCCAAGGCAATCCATTTGTGACCACTGCCGGGGTCCCCATCGCGCAGCTGTTTTCGAAACCCATCGTTCCGGACGCTTGCGTGAAACCTGTCGACAACCTCTGGCGCTGGCTGCGCCTCATTCCTAGCTTCGCGACGGCTTCGTGGAACAACATGCGGCCACTGGATGCGCTCGAGGATGGCAAGTGCGCCAACGTGTCGGACATTACACTGCGTGGTGGCGTGTGCGTCCACTTGACCAACGGCGGCTTTGACTCGTGTCCGTTTGAGACGGCCTGGTCAAGTGCAGTGTTCCCGGGCGAAGGCACGAAATTTGCCGTGGCTTCACCTACGTCAACGCTTAAAACATCAGGGATAGCATGCCTCGTCACGGTTGGAATGGTTTTTGCTGCTTGGTAGCTAGCTAGCTAGCATACGATACGAATTGTACGAAAACAAAGAGTAGACCGATAGTATGGAGACATCAAAAATACCCTTTCAAGGTGTACGTACTGTATACTTGTACTTGCTTGTCTGGCCGCGCAGAAGTAATTCCAAGGGGGCATCATACCGTTAACCAGAGTAAGCCGGTCAATAAAGCCAACGACACCGACCTCCTTCGATGTTTCGTGGGCTGAATGAAGGACTACTGTATGTACAGTTGACCTTCAGATCCAAATCTCCGTGTCTACCATTTGTTTTGCAAGACCACAAGGGCACTCTTGAGCGAGTACGTACATACTAGGAGGATGCAATGAAGTGCACTTGGTAACTATGTTCCAGCTGCTTTTAACGGAACAGTAACGTAGGCAGCAGCATATGTGACCACCCAGGTCTTATAAATACGCACACACATAACATTCAACGTTAAGTTACGACGACACTTCACGCTTGGGTCGTCTGGTGATTGCCGACGGCGGACGTTTGTTCCCACTGTCGTCGTCTCCATCATTGTGCAGCCACGTCGACTGCTGGGCTTTCCGGAGCGTGCCGTAGATCCACTGCATGGTCGGCCGATCAGTCGGATTGTCTTGAAAGCACGCCGTGAGCAATTCTCTGTGCGTGTCGCTGAGCTCTTCCCCCATCGGCAACCGCTGGCCTTCCAATACCCGCACGGCAGCTTGCAGCGGTGTCAAGTTGGCAAATGGCTTGGACTCGAACAGCGTTTCCCACGCCAGCACTCTGTGCACCAACCAATATATCAACATCATCATAAACAGTAGCTGCCTTCAGCCACGTACCCAAACGCGTACACATCCGCCTTGGCCGTAAACCCATACGGCGGCTGCAACGTCTCGGGCGCCATGTACTTCAACGGCCCACTCCCATGTTGTACGAACGCGCCGCCGGCGTGCCCCACGCGGCGACACATGCCAAAGTCGCTCAAGATACCGCGACCATTGTCGTCCACCAGGACATTCCTACCTCATTGTCAAGAAATATGTACAATATATATGCAAAACAACAGCGTTTAAAGCCAAGTGGTCATGATGAGTGAGTACCTTGCCGCGAGATCGCGATGGACAAACCCAGTGGCGTGAATAGTATACGTGGCAGCCGCTACGTCGGCCAACAACAAATCCTTATCCAGCGTCGAAGAAGCAAACTGCGATTCGAGCGATCCGAGGGGCATGAAGGATGTCACCACACTCAACGGCGTCGACAGGTCGCTGCATGCACCCACAAAAGGAACCATGTGCGGATGATGGCCAAACCGATTCAGAATCGCCGCTTCGTGCTGGAAGGCGGCTTGAATGGCATCGCCAGACGACCCGTACTCACTCGCGCGAATGGTCTTGACGACTACCTACACCCACAACCACCATCATGTCATGGTGACTTTTAATGGGGGGTACTACTCAACCTCCTGGCCGCGGAATCGCGCGCGGTACGCATCGCCGCCCGCCCCCGACCCAATCCACTCGTGCATGTCCAAGTCGACGTACGGGATTTCTTGATATGTGTCGTCTAACACTTCCAATACGCTTTCAAGGCACTGCACCATGTCATCATCCACATCGTCGTCGTCGTCGTCGTCGGTTTGATTGGTCGAGACGGGACGCCGGCATGAATCATCCATTGTGTGCACAAGAATATACGACCGCAACGAACACACGACCGAACCCACGACCAACGTCACTTTGAACAACACGTGGCCAGCGTCACTCTGGCGGTGCCCTTGACTTTGCAGGCGAAAAGCCAGTCGATGCAAGTCCCCAGTCCATACCTACAGTATGGTTAGTCAACCCCATTTGTAGGCTTACACCAATGGACAAGTCACCTTGACATGTTCCACTGTTCAAACGAATCATTGATTGCCCAGATGTAATACTCCTCATCTCCACGTAGTACACAAGGTCGTCAAACGGCAAAGTCTCAGAGATGCAGCGCTTAGACATGTATATATAAGTCACAGTGAGAAGCGATTGCCCATGAATATATATTATCAAGTCGATTCGAAATTGGAGTGGGGTACTCACTCGAATGAGCAGCATCAATCGGCAGACAATCGATCGACCAATCAAAACCCATAACCCGAATGAAGTAGCCAATGAAATCCTCTCATCGATCAAGTCAACATCGAATTAGTGTGGAACTTAAATTAGTGTGACATCGGACGATTCTTCCATACAAAAGTCAGTGCAAAGAATCGATCGATAGATTTGGCAAAGAATCAGCACAAAAGTCCAAATTTTGGGTAAAAGGACAATATATATAAATCATCTACATGTAAGCATCGGAAGACCTACCATGGATTGGGAGGCGGAAAGTGGGTGGAGCAGATTGAATCCACGTGGCACATCCAGCGTGGCTTGAATCAGCGTGCCGTGACTGACGTTCTGGAGCAACGTTTCGCGGGACAGCGACCGATGGCCCATCGTGTCCACCGCCAGTTCGTGCATGTCGGCTCGCTGGGTGTCGGCAAACACCCACACATGCAACGAAAACGAATGACTTGGTCGAATTGTACGAGGACCGTACATGGCAAAGTGGGCATCTTCAACATTGGACGAAGGATTGGAAGGATAGGGAGGATGGGGCAACGCTCGGCTGACTCGGGGTCGGGTCATGGGGTCCAAGACAGCAGGCGAGGACGCCGGCGACATCGTTTCGTACGACGATGGGGGCTGCGTGGGGCTCAAACAGTCGTACGCGGGCGCTGCGGTCGCCACCCGAAGCTGTGGCACACGGACCTTTTCAGGCACGCAAAGGAGTGTCCTGTCTTGGACTTGCTCAGATTCATGTAGTGATAGTGCCAGAGGTGCGTTGGGAGATGACTTCTTGGCGACGTAGCCAGTCGAGGTACCCGTGGCTTTAGAGGTCACGTCGACCATGGCCACTGGGGACAACGTATCGGCCATGCATGTTCGACCGGAAGACACGCGGGAATATGTCGTGAGAGAGCGATGAACGAGTTGGCGGCGGCCGTCGACGTCTGGTCGCGCAGGTTGATGATGATGATGGTGCAACGATGGAGGCAACGGAAACGAAAGTGGCGAGTGGGGAAATGTGGCCTGGAGATCGCGACGGAAGAGCTCGGGCGCTTCGAATATCTTGGCATATGCCGTCGAAGACATTTGAGCGAGCACTGTGAGGGCGAGGTCGCACGCCCAGAGACACAGCACAAAGTACGCGAGGATGCCGAGGCGAGCGACGAGCGGGTGGAAGGCGTCGAGGCGGGTGGAAAACACGTCCATGTTGATGTTCAACGCGCTAAGGTATGTGGAATCCAAGACGAAGAGGAAGAGGGGCAGGCTCGTGAGCAGCCACCCCACGCAGGCCTTCCACACGACGAAGTATGCGAGCGACAGACCTACTGTCGCGCGACACAAGTCCCAATGGGAGACGTGGTACAGCGACGTTGGAGACACGAGGTTCATGAGCGAGATCTCTTGCGTCCACATCCACGCCACGAGCTTATACACGACGCGGCGCCGTCGTAGCCTGCCGCGGAAGTGGAAAAGCAATCCACACGTGACCACGCCTAGCACGAGACAGACGACGAAACCGACCCATAAACTCACGGCGAAGACCCAGTTCAATACGTAGTAGACAAAGATGCGTCTGTACGACCTCGGGTCCCGCGACCCCAGCCATCCATCCAGTGACGGCGGCGGTGTGGTTGTGGCGGTGGCCATGGGAGCGCGTCCCAGGTCTCGGAATGTTGATCTTTCACACCCATGTGGGATAAACAGGGCAACATATACGGACAATATATATATATAGTCATATATATGGGCAGAATAGATAAGCTCTTAGATTTCCAACAGCTCATCCATAGAAGGGCGGCGTTGGTTGTACAGCTCCGCTCACTGGTGATCTCAGTCCGCGGAGGACCAGCACACGCGCGAGGCGAGCCTGCGGCCGTGTGTATGTGGCCATGCAGTAGTTTCACGGCTTCAAATCTAATACTCCCGCACGTGAAACGACCATTCTTGGCGCGGTAATTTCAAAACAAGCGCAAAGTAGCCAATGAAAGAGGAGAACTCATTGCACCAATCAGCTTCCCTTGGTTCAAGAATACCGCCAATGGGACTTGCAATGGGCTCAATATCTACTTTGATTGGCTAATAATGTGCAGCGCCAATTCCGGATGATTCCCATATCAAGTTTGCAAACAACAACATGGCGAGTATCAGGACCACAGTGGGCAACGAAGGTGCGGGAGGTGAGGCACCCGGGACGGCGGCGGCGACTTCCACTGCCCTGACGTCGGCCATCCCTGGCGCATGCAACGCCACATCGTTTCTTGCCCGGAGGGACAACGCAAACGACTCGGATCTCAGCGATGGAGAGGATTCCGCCCCTTTGATAGCGAAGCGTGTCGTTGTGACGCCAGACATTTCGACTCCTGCCATTGCCATTCCTTCCGATGCATCGAGCGAATGCGACTACGACTCGGAAGAGGAAGCGAGATTGAGCAGTCGTTGGACGTGCCAAACCATCCGGTCGAAGATCCAAAAGTTCCTCGCCACGAAAACCATGACCCAGACCGCATTCCTCAAGACCATCGGCGCCAACAGCAATTCGTTCGGGCGTTTCATGAAGCTTAAGGGCTCTTTTGGTGGAAGTCAGAACTCGACGTATTGGGGCTCGTTGCGCTTCTTCGATCGCCTCGACAAGAAGACGAAGAAGGAAAAAGCTGCAGCAAAGGCAAGCGGCGCCAAAGCGAAAACTGCCGTCAAGCGCAAGGCAGTGGATACTGACAAGGACGACGACGAGACTCCTGCGGCCAAGAAGAAGAAGTTCCTGGCACGATTAGACCAAATCGAAGCGGTGGAACTCGCCGAAGACATCAAGGTCTTTGACGACTGCGACGTCGTCCGCGACAACATTCAGGCGTTCCTTCTGACAAAAGTCATGACCCAGACAGCACTTTCCGCGCATTTGGAAGTGTACGTGGCAGTGTTGAGCAAGTTTCTCGCGTGCAAAGGCAAGCGCGAAGACGTCGGGATCGTGTACAAGGCGGCGTATCGCTACTTCGAGAAGAGCGCCTCTTGGACAACGTGCCCAAGACCAACAAACGCAAAAAGGTCGAAACTGACCGACCAGAAGGGTACTCCCTCAAGCGCGACCCAACGCACTTCTTGGTCCATATCAGTGAAATCAACCCCAAAGTGCGATGGTAGAAGTGTACGTACATACATATCGACTTGTCATGGCTGTATATAGTAACTCTTATATGGAAAACACGAACGTTGTTGTGCTATGTATTATGGATGCTCTTATCCTAGTGAAGTATGATCGACAGCACTGGTTGCTTGCCTAGAGTACGTACGTACGTACCCTTGTACAAACCATCGACGTGAATAGTTAACGTTAGTATGGATCATTCGGTACATTCAAGTCGCATACTCCGTCATATCGCATCGACATACACTGGATAACGTTAGAGCTTTGCCGCGTCAATGCTGTAGGTTGAGACTTCTCTAAGCTTCGACACTACCCGGTACTATTGGGGGAGGATTCCACTCATATTGATATTAATATAGGTTCCTGGAGCGAAAGGAGCAATGAGGCAAGCCGACTTTGTCGTGCATGTATGTATGTAGATGTACTGCAGAACGCTAGTACAGATATGCATAACGCTAGTACATGTAGTTACACGGCGTCCGAGTACTGTTGCCCAGTACATGCATGTATGCTCGTTTCTTGGCGCCAATTTCAAAATGTCCGAAAAGGAGCCAATCAAAGTGGAGATCTTGGGCGACTGTATGCACCAATCAGCTTCCGTTAATCCTGAAAATGAGAAACATTCCGCCAATGGGACTTGGCGTTGACATAATGATTACATTGGATTGGTTAATAATGTCCAACCGGAATGCGCGCACTTTCGCCATTTCTCATTTGACAACAACATGGCGAGTATCATCAGTACCCCCAAGGGCAACGAAGGTGCGGACGCTGCGGCAGCGGGGATCGCCATTGGGACGGCGACGGCTTCCACTACTCCGTCTACGGTCATCCCTGACGCATACAAAACTACGTCGTTTCTTGCCCGAAGGGACAACGCAAATGACTCGGACTCGGATCACAGCGATGGGGACTCCACGCCTGCGATTGCGAAGCCTATCGTTGCGACGCCTGCTGTTGTAACACATGCTACTGCGACTCCTGCCAATGCATTAAGCGAAGACGAGTACTACACAGATGATGACGAAACATTAAGCAATCGTTGGACGTGCCAAACGATCCGGTCGAAAATACAAAAGTTCCTCGCCACGAAAACCATGACCCAGACGGCGTTCCTCAAGACCATTGGCGCCAACAGCAATTCATTCGGGCGTTTCATGAAGCTCAAAGGTGCGGATGGAGGAAGTCAGAACTCGACGTATTGGGGCTCGTTACGCTTTTTTGATCGCCTCGACAAGAAGACGAAGAAGGAAAAAGCTGCGGCAAAGGCAAGCAGCGCCAAAGCGAAAACTGCCGTCAAGCGCAAGGCAGTGGATACTGACAAGGACGACGACGAGACTCCTGCGGCCAAGAAGAAGAAGTTCCTGGCACGATTAGAACAAATCGAAGCGGTGGAACTCGCCGAAGACATCAAGGTCTTTGACGACTGCGACGTCGTCCGCGACAACATTCAGGCGTTCCTTCTGACAAAAGTCATGGCCCAGACGGCGTTTTCCGCGCATTTGAACGTGTCCGTGGCAGCGTTGCGCAAGTTTCTCGCGTGCAAAGGCAAGCGCGAAGGCGTCGGGATCGTGTACAAGGCGGCGTATCGCTTCTTCGAGAAGACGCGCCTCTTGGACAACGCGCCCAAGACCAACAAACGCAAAAAGGTCGAAACCGACCGACCAGAAGGGTACTCCCTCGAGCGCGACCCAACGCACTTCTGGGTCCATGCGAGTGAAATCAACCCCAAAGTACGATGGTAACAAGGTTGCATGTCGCTCTATCGTTAATCATGGCTTTTTAAAGGAACAACTATATGGACAACTCATTGCATCGTACAAAGACACTGGATCGAGAGGATGGAGCCGGCTCGCTCAATCTGTCATATGATGTGTCCCCATTTCCATATTGATGCATGTTTACTACATTCAGAACAGACGCCGCGCCGTCGACTCTGGAAGTTCGTACACAAGTAGTACGATTAGAGTGACTGCAGTACCATATGTATTCCTGTACTACCAGTAAAGCATCGGCGAAACACTCCGTGAATCGTACACACGACGCTATGACGTGGCACCCCCGACAGAAGTCCCCAACTCTAAACTACTAGCTACCTACCCTCACAGGTCAGGGCAAGTTGGAGGGTGTTAGTGAAGAATCTCTCCATCGTACGAGTGAGAAACCGCGAGGACAGTACAGCCCTGTTGGTGTCCACACAATATGTGACACAGTGGGTTGCATGTTAAAATAGGAAGCACACGACACAGCTAACAAACGAACGAATGAACTAGGTGGGGTTGTAATAGTACCACATGGGCGCGGCGTCGGCGGGCGGCGGCACTTGGATGTGCGGTCGAGTGTGGTCGTACGGGCGATGATACTGGTGGAGGGGGGTGATGAAATGGACTTGCTCCATCAAGTGGGTCATGGTTCCGGCTGAGTGGAGGGGCGGGATGTCTTGGAAGGGGCCATCAAACCCACCCACCCCTCGTCCTTGGGGCAGCATGCCTTTGAGATCGACGTACGACCCATGGCGCGGGATGGCGGCGGGGGGGTCCATGGCCGCGTCCGCCCAAGACGTGGTCGGAAACGGCGAAGTTGAAGAAGATGCGGTGGCGGCGAGGGGGGGCTTGTGTCGGGTTGTGCCCATGCGATCAGGTCGGTTCTTTCGCTTGATGCGGGCCATGCGATCGGGACGGTGGCGAAGGAACTCGGGGTGCGAGAACGTGCAAATGGTCGTTTGGGACTTGGTCCACTTGCGAAACCCAAAGTAGTTGAGCTGGCGCTGGAAACTCGCATAGTTGGAGTGCTTAAAGTACTTGGGCAGAATCGTATGGGCGATGCTCACCATGTCCAAGATCTGGATCGACGTGCCGTCCGCTGACCACGCAATAATGTGCGGATCTTCGTTGTCGAGGATCTGAAACAGATACCGCAAGAACTTGGGCACCCCGACCTTGCGATGCTTGACTTGTTTGTACGGCGACGACGACGAACACGACTCGTCGCTTTCGTCTGGGGTACTAGTACCATGCTGCCGCTCTTGGTTGTTGTTGGTCATGTGCTGGAGATGAAGATGATGGTGGCGCTGCTGCTGCCCATGATGTTGTTGCAGGTGTCGTGCCAGTAAAGTATCCGTTGGTGTGCCCGGGACGTGGTAGTTGTTGGGAAGCTGCTGCTGCTGCTGTTGGGGGAACACAGATGCTACCGGTGACGACGTCATACTAGGATGGCTCTACGTGACTGCACTCGCAGCTTTGAATGCAGCTACGTGGGGGCTGTCCAGCAAGAGTCAAATGGGGAACTGAAATCTTCGAGCACGGCCCGTTTCACGTGAGCATTCCACGTCAAACATGGCCCCTACCCCTCGACTATACAAACGGCAAGTGATTTTCCACCGTGTAACCGTCCACACCACTGCCAAACCATCGAACGTTGGGAATTATAGCCAAGGAAGGTTGACCACAGCAATGAATCGTTCGTTACCCCAAGATCGTCGAAACCATCCTCGCCAGTGGCTTTGCAACTGCCAAAGCCTTCGCTTTGCCCTTGGCCTCCTCGTCGGGGGGTTTCATGCAACTTGCGTCGTCGCCTCAAGACAATTGGTCACTTTCTGTGCGCGGGCGAGACTGAGTGATACTATAGCCATAGATAGCCGCGCACTTCAACCCTCACAGGATGTATCACCTTTGTGATGCTGATGTGGATCCATCTTGTTTGTATGAATACTTGCGATGGTACATTGCATAGCAACAGGAACGTGGAGCTAGTATCGTTACCAGTAGTCACAACACTATTGTACCCCAGCATGTCACGTTGAATGGGAATCCCTTTCCCACCCACGTAGCCCACGGCGCAAGTAGTAGTAGAGCTGTACCTGTACCTACCCCTTCGCCATATCGTCGAGACCTTCCCTTGTCTACCAGTCAGTATGTTGATCCGACTCATAATCCCTCTCGACTACGTCCTTGCCCTCGATATGTGGGTTTGATTCTTAAGTTACACGATTGGATGCTGTGTAATCACTTGAAACTTTCTCGTCCAGCGACCATGTCCACCATGTGCGCGCTGTCTTCGTCCACGGCATCCAGCAAGCTCGGAAACATGTCGTGCGCGAGCAGCAGGACCAGCTGCACCGCGTCGACGCGGGGCATTTCACAGAACGCGACAAACTGGCCCGTGTCCTGGAGGTGGGCTTGCAGGTCTGCCGCCGCCAGCAGCTCTTCGGTCGAGTACTCGTACGTCGACACGACAGTCGCCTTCTTCGTCGCTTCCACCCGGGCCATGCGATCGTCAAACGAGAGCCGCGCCATGACACGTCCGGTGCTCGACCCCGTGTTGAAGCCGCTACTGCTACTCGTGGTGGCGGTGCTACTGGTCGTGGGCATGGAGCTGCGGTTCGAGTAGTACTGGTCTGTCTTGGGTGTGTGGGGGTTGTTGTTATTGTGACCGGTACATGAGCTCGTGGTGCTCACAAATGAACTGTTGTCTTGGCAACGCGGGTGGTGCGAGTGGCGGCCAAGTCCGATCAAAGCAGCACTCTGCGACCGTTGCAGCTGCGGCGACGCCGACGCTTGGACGACCCGCATCCACTCGACCAAGTCCGACTCGGTGTCGGCGCCAAAATAGTAGACGCGTCGCTTCTGGGCAGACGACGGAGGCTCCACCTATGATTGTACACGAGGATAAGTACACTCATGAGAGTCGGGTCTGTAGCTACGTACCTTGAAAAAGTGACATGGGTGGCCCACCTTGGCCGTGAATTTGTGACATTGCCATCGATTTACCGTCGCTCCTTGCAAAGCCACAGACCCATTTGCATGGCAGTTCGTGTCGCTCTTGTAATACGTGAGAGTCCCATCTTTCGCAACACACCACCGACGCTTCCAGTTTTGGACAAACCCACCCTAGACACAGATACAACCCTGTCACATATGTACAACCCTGTCACATATATACATTGTTCGTACTTGTTTAAATAACCACCCGCGCTTGATATAGCACTCCTTTTGACGCACGTCGTGGGGCACAAGGTCGGGAAGCATTTGATTGTGAGGATGAGAATGTAGATTCGTTGTTGGTTCGAATTCACACGCGACACTGAAATGGTCTGGGAATCGCTTGTGGTCGGTTGCGCCGTCAATGTCGGCTTTGGTCAACACAATCGATCCGCGCGATGTGACAAAGTCCGTCCGCAGGGTAAAGTGGCACAATTGGCTTTCCTTTTTGCCCAGCACGGCCGTCGCGTTCGCGTGGAATATACGCACGAGAAAGTCACCTTCGACCACGCACTCGGTCTACCATCACGGTGATATATATATATATATATATATATACTATTATTGCCACGTCGAAAGTAACGAGGTTTGGGGCCGACCAATCAAAACCCACAACACGAATCCAAACAGCCAATCAAAAAACATTCTCCACCCACTCCACAATATTGAATTAGGGGGGGTGATGATGATTGATTGATACAGTAGGATGTTTATAATAAAAGTCAGTCCAAAGTATCGATCCATGTATGTGATAAAGCAGCACAAAAATCACAAGACGAGCATGGGGGTTGTTGGCACTAACTAGTATAGTACTATTAATAGTAGTATATTGTCAATACGATTCAAAAGTGGAGCAAAATTCGCAGACAATCAATATCGACCAATCAAAACCCAGAACAAAAATCAAGTAGCCAATCAAACTCTACAATAGTAGTATGTGATATACGAATTACACTGAAAGGCGGCATTCTCTCTTCCCATCCAACATTTACAGTAACTACAACAATGCGATCGATGGATTCGGCAGATCAACCCCAAACAACTCCAACGTTTGCTTGAAAGGGCAATATATATATATAGCTGGGACGGACGTACGCGAAAGACAAGCGTCGTGTGTGGGTCAGTGTACGATTGGAGTTGAGGGGTGTCCCAGGCACTGTTGTACAAGAGTTTGGATGGCACGTGCTCAGACGGCGCCGGGTGGACCTTAAGATAGCATGAGATGTGGTGGAAACGGGTTGAGTAGTGATGAATAGATAGACAGCTTACAAGAAGAAACGGCGAACATCCCCCAGCATCCACGTACGGCATGCCCGTCATGACAATTTGCCGTAAAAACTACATACCAACATGGTCACGTCATTAAATTGTTATGACCAATAGCTGCAATATGTGATTGCGGAATAGATAGTACTACTAGTCGTAGGAATCCTAGCAGCCAGTATGAAACGTACGAGCTTTGTGGCGCGGGGAAGGGGCGGCAATCGGTAGCCAAGACGATCGGGGCGGTATGGCAACCTCGACAAGTACTAGACACACCAACAACCCCGTTGTTGCCTAACTCATGCTTCTACACTGGCGTTCGTACCTTAGTAAAGTAGTACACGTATCTGGCTTGGCTTGGGTAACGTACGCCTTGGCCACGTTTCTTCCAGAAGATGCCGTTGACCATCTGGACATACTCGAGCAGGTCCTGGTCCGACTTGTGGTAGATGGAAATGCCATACTCGCTACAACCAACGACATGGACGATGATGATGACGTGAGAGCGCGCGCGTACTCTTCGAAAAAGCCAATCACAATCAGAAAACAAGTCACCACGACCCCCGTCCGCCCTTTGCCCGCCATGCAATGCACCACCACGACGTTATCGGGGTCCCGCGTGTACCAATCCAGCATGCGGTTGAGAATGTCCACGAGAACCTTGTCAGGACGACGGTGTGTCAGAGGTCAAGGGCATGGACGTCTGTCGGTGTCATGAACGAACGTACTTGGAGTGGTGGTGGGTGATGGTCTGGGAACCCGCATTCGTCGACGCGATCGCCAAACTTGTGCCCGTCGTAGTGGCTACACGCATATATATACATTCGCCATATTATTGTTCCACCATTCACACCAAAGACATTTGATGAGATACCGTTCGCTGAGATTGTAGATAAAGTACTTGTCTTGATGCTTCATGTTCAAGAACGACGATACGTCCGACACGTCGTTGCGGTACGTCTTTTCCACACCTGATGCGGGGTACCCCATCGCCAACACCCTGGGACACGATACACATCAACACTCGCCCATAGACGCCATCATCATGTACAGCGCCTCCGCTACTACCTGTCGTGGATGTAGGTCAAGTCGAGGTCATACCCGTCTTGGGTGTATCGATTGCGAGACCCAGAGATCGCATTGCGAAGGACTTTCATCGCGGTCGCGACAGAATGGAAGTAAAATTTGTCGGCTCACAAAACAATCGAGTCAGCTGTCCCTCCATTTTGATTGGTTAGACAGTCGAATTTGCCAATTATTTCCACCAATCACATGCATGATACATGTGGTCGATTGTACATTTTTCAGGTCGTTTTATAGGCGTGGGAGGGATATTTTTAGGGAATATGATCCGGTTAAAGAGATTGTACCTTTTATGTAGTATCCAATTCTCCGGATAACATTCCAGCGACTTGTGGGGGTACCACAAGAGCCAATCACAGACAAGGACTAGGGAACAGACAATAATATGTGTGCACTTTGAATTCAGTGAATCCAGCCAATCAGCGACGTGGCTCCGACCTTCTTTATTTTTGCTCGAGTTTTGCTGGATAATACATATATATATATATCCATGGATTTCCAACCCTCTGTCGCGTAAACGTTATGGAGCGAACGAACTATTTACAGTTAGTACAACATATCATTCCTTCGCTTGTTACTTGACTGGCTGCATGGATTTGGACGGCGATCCGCTGAGATTGAATTCTTCGAGACGTCGCATCATGGGTTGCCCCGACTCGTTGTCGTAGCTGGTGTTTGAAATTTCAATGCGCTCGCGCATCCGATCGAGGGTTTCTTTGAGCATGTCGCCGAATTCTGCGGCCATTTCCTCCATTTTGGCCTTTAGCTCTTGGATTTCGCTGTTTTTGCTTCCAATGACGCCGTCCTTTTCTCGCTTCACTTCTTCGAGGTGGACTCGGGCCAGCTCTAGTCTGAGTTGTTAATCATGCGCGCCAACTCAAGGACCAAAGGCGTGTACATGTGTACCCAGTTGATCACGCAATTCGGTGTTGGTGTTTTCCAACGCATTGATGCGATTCAACAGCTCCTCTTGCATGCTCTTGTATTGGCGTGTCATGTCTTGAGTGATCCCGAAGGTTTGGGTCTTGCCCATTTCAAAGTCTTTTTGTAAATCTGTTACACGCCCTTGTAGCTCTTTCTTCGCCTCCATGGCTTTCACTGCCATCTCATGCCGGTCGGCCAACTGCAGCTGGAGCGATCGATTCACGCAGCCGAGCATTTTCACTTGGTCTTCAGGGGTCAAGACCCCGCCGTTGTCGGCACTTTCGTCCGCGCCTACGTATGCGACATCGTTGTTACACCGAATCAGTCGAACCAACAACTATGTACTACTTATATATATGCACATGTCTAACCTTTCTTGTCTTTGCCCTTCTTCTTGTCCTTCTTGGGGCCCATGGCGGTCTTGACGGATCTGACTTGAGGAAATGTGTAACCGCTTCAACCTGGCTCATGGTGCGTCGGCAGTTACACGTTATATTGTTTGAACCGCCTTGCAGGCGCGACGTAAATTGCACGTGAGGCCATGCAATCACGTCATTTACATTACAGCCCCACTTATTTCATTGACCTATCGTTGCTCTTCGTGCAAAGGATTCGGGGGGGAGGGTCGTGCCGTGCCGCCAAGTATCGTACTTCGAAGTATTTCAGACCTATACAAGCCTCTACACTCCATCGCTGTCTGTGGCTGCTATGTAGTACATTGATTTTGTACTTCTTTGTATTGACAGTGAGCCTGTTCATGGGGTCAGAGTTGGGGCACGTTCCGCTTTCTAATGACCTTCGAAATACACCGTTCAATCGCGCAACACATCGCAACACCGTGACAAGTGTTCATTGCGACGACACCCAAACGGTGAAACGCTGCGTGTGTGTGTGTATTTGATCGTTCCACTTGTGACTTACATGACTTGGAAAGTCCAGACATCTCAGCAGGTACAGTAGTGCTGTGCCATCCGTCGCAATTCGTCGATTTCTCCGACGCACTCGTTCACGTTGCCACGTCATCATGGCCATGCAGACCGACCGACCACCTTGCACTCGGGCTTGACCAAGTGGAAATGTACACCATCGACCCGTCGTCGCTTCCACCCTTTCCCCTCTATCGTTTCTTTACGAGATGTGTAACCAGTGTAATGCCACTGTAACACGACATGCGTTTGACAAGATACTAGTAGTATGCTTTAGTAAGTGAAGATCAGTTGCCAGGTCCACGGGTACAAAGATTGCAATGTGGCGATACGTTATCTATACGATAGGCAAAGCCCTCGAATCTTGAAGCTCCATCACTTTGGAACGTTGTGAAAGCGATCGGGCGATGGTGATGAATGCTCTGCGCCGGGCAAGGGAGAGGGTTGATCGGGTCAGATCGATATAGTATTACTATCTAGAGCAAGTCGTCTGATTGGTGAATTCGTTACTCACATCCGGATATTCCGGATGTTAATAGTATGTTACAGTGGCCACCTTGAAGAGATTTAAGCTTGGTATTTGTATGTGACTCCTCAGTGCAGTCACTCGGACCTTGCTCTCCCATTGCCCTTTGGTGCGTGTCTCGGTCATTCAGCCATTCACCAGACGTCCTGAGTGTAATACATGGAGTCGTCCTGCGCCAAGTGCAGCAGTAGCATTGCCGCCTCCGACCAATTCTGTATCTATTGCGGCACCGCCGTCGACCGTACTGAGGCTTCGACCACCGCCGTCGACCGGACAGAGGCTTCGACCACCGCCAGTGTCGCGTCACCCGTCGTGGAACCTGTGGTGGCGGAAGCTGTACCCGTCCCATCGCCCCCGGCGTCGGCGCCGACTCCCGCCCGTGTTCAGTCCTCGTCTAACCCGACGGCGGCCAATGTTCCTTCACCGCCCAAATCCGCACCTGCCACGTCCGTGCGCGTGGCGGAGAGCATGCGGAAGATATCCAAGTCCACCGAGGACCGCCGTGACTCGATCGACGGGTATGCCCACAACGAAAGCTCGCTCGCTCAAATCGCCGACCTGCAACGCCTGTGGGTCCCAGATGACTTCTCCAGCGACTGTATGGACTGCGGCAAGACGTTTGGCTTTCCACAACCCCGTCGCCATCATTGCCGCGTGTGTGGCCAGCTGTATTGCCGCGACTGCGTCTCCAACAAATGCACAATTCCGTCCTCGTTTGGTTATGCCGACAAGCCGCAACGATGCTGCAAATCCTGCACGATTTCGCTCCAAATGAAAGCCATTAAAACTCCCGCCGATGTGTTTTCCCAGCGCGAACAAGCCCAAACCCGCGCCGCACCCACTCCCAAGGGCGCATCGTCGTCTGCTGCCTCGGTCCGCGCCGCTCCTCCTGCGAGCATTCGCGCCGCCGCGTCGACCGTCATCGCGACCAACCGCATCAAGTCCACTGCAAACGACGCGTCCAGTGGCGTCAACCTCAACGACTTTGCGTCCAAGAACCCGACCCAAGTCGCCCGTGCGGAACAAAAGGAGTGCCAGATCTGCTTCCGGCAGTTCGCGCTCGGCCGTCGCGCAAACCATTGCCAGCGCTGCACCCGATCCGTGTGCAACGGATGCTCCCAAGGCCAAAAGCCCATTCCCGAGCTCGGGTATGCGACCCCCGTGCGCCACTGCAACAACTGCATGACCAAGCCGCCTCAGTTGGCCAGCTTGGAAACCGAAGGCGTCGCGGAGCCGCTGCCCGGTTTCGAGTTTCTCTCCAAAATGGACTTCAAGATCGCGGTCGTGGACCTTGGCGGCGACACGTCCGAAACGTACAAGGTGGACGTGTACTTTGAACCCAACGCCGCGCACGTCAAGGCCCTTGGCGAGACTCTTCGTCCCAGCGACATCGAAGCCGCCAAGGAATACGCCATGACACGCAAGCGCAGCATTACCGACTTTGAGTGGCTCGCGGCGGCGTTGGGCGATCGAGTAACTGCCAAGGCGTTACCGAATTTTCCGGAAAAACGCGTGCCCCGGGGCGCCAAAAAGGGCCAATCGCTGCAAGTGTTTTTGGCGGTACGGTTAAAATTTCTACACTTTTGAGTTTGCGCGCGAAGAAACCAAGTCAACTCAACTCGTCATGTAGGGCTGTCTCGTGCATCCGCTGTACCGGTCCTGCGATGCGTTGAAGGCGTTCTTCGGGCTCACCAACGAACAGTTCCGCGCGTTCAAGAACGCCGGCGCCAACACCGAGCTCAAGGTCGCGCCCGAGTACACGGACGTGCTCATGTGGCTGCAGCTCAAGATGGAACAAGACCAAATGGAACAGAAGCTCGCGACGTTGGTGCAACGCCGCAAGGATAACGAATCACGTGTTTCCAAGCAGCAAGCGCGAAAGAAGGCGTACGAAGGCCGCAAGGTGAACCAGATGGCGCGCCGGACCAACGCCCAGGCACGGTACGAAGCGTTGGTCGCGCGCAAGGAAAGCCAGTTGGCCCGCCACGGTCGTGAAAAGGACCGGTTGCAGACGCAAATCGAGTCGGTGAACATTGTGTTTGACGATACCAAGGACGACGAAGTGGTCCGCGCCGTGGAGGAAGAAGTGCGGCAAAAGGAAAAAGTCGAGTTTGTCAAGTCCAAGGACGCGTTCCAAACTGACACGACCGAGTGGAACAAGGACATGGCGTTGTGGAGCCGGCAACGTGCCGACTGGAGTGACCACCACAACCCGCCCGTGTCCAAGCAAATCGCCAACGAATGGCTTATCAAGGCGTTTGGCGTGTTCCATCGCTTTACGGCCGAAGGCAACACGGCGGCGATCCCCAAGGAACTGGCCAACTTGCATGCCAAGGTGGAGCAACTCCAAGACGAAGAACCGTCATTGCTGGAAAAAGAAGGCCAATCGTTGGACGACGAGTGGAGCGAACTTAGCAAAGAGCGCGACAACTGGGCGCACGATCGCTCCAACATGAAGCGCGAGGACGAAATGTGCGCCGACGAAGACGTACGGTACAAGCACGAGCACGAACACGTGCGCCAGTACCTCGAGTGCCGCCAGACCAAGATCAACGGCATCGAAGCCGACTTGGCGGCTCTGGACATGGAAATCAAGTCCCGTGCTAAAACATACACTCAACGCAAGGTACGGGTTGTCTTGTGTGCTACGTATGATGAATGTGTGTGTGGTTTGACATTTTTAAAGATATTCACACATCATCGTAGTTGCGCCACGAAGCGTTGGACAAGGAGTACGAACTCGAGTGGAAGAAGAACCAAGACCTACGCATGGGGTACACTGCCGAGCGCATGACAGCCCATAGCGAGCGCATCGCCCGCGGCAAGAAGCGCTGCGAAAGCTTGAGCGAGCAGCTGGCCCGTCAGCAAAAGTCGAGCCGCCTTCTCTTGTTCAAGCGGGCTGCGATGAACGAAGAGCGCGACGCCGACACGACCGTGTTCACCGAGCACAAAGACGGATGCAAGTCAGCTCTGGACGCGGCCGTGAGCAACTTGGCCATGGCGCCCGAGTACGTGACCCGCTTGGACTCGGACGTGGACATCAACAAGCAAGAAACGGACGACATATTGGCGTCCAACTACCGCACCCCCATGGAAGGCGACGTTGTGGACGACCGGGATCCATTTATGAACGACGTGCGTACGCGTCGCCGCGCGTTCCAAGTCGAGTTGGACGCGCAGCAAAACCACTTGGCCGCCGAGTTTGGCGTGTGCGAGTCGCTCCTCCGGCGCATTTCGGGGTTTATTACCCGCTTGAACGAAGAAACGGCGATCGCTGTGACCGAAGACACGCTCATCGTCGAGTACCATGCGTTCTTGGACTCGGAGAAGAAGCTCATTGCTGACGAAGAAGCATGCCGCGAACAAAAGAAGGCGTACCTGACGTCGCTGCTCACGGACGCCGGCAACTGGGTGTACGACGCCCTGCATGACCACTCGAAGCGCAAGAAGCGCGAAGCCGACCGCCTCGTCAAGCAAGCGCTGCGCGCGTCCGAGCTACAGCGCCTCGTCCAGCACTTTACGCACCGCGTGATCGAGCAGGAGGAGCGCATCATGCGGCAGAAGCAGCGCATCCTTCTCGGCGAACACAAGCTCGAGATGCTCAAGAGCTCCGACTCGTGGTTCTTGCACGTGACCGTGCACACTCCAGACATTGGCAAGCACGACGCCAAGTGTTTGGAAATGGCGCGCAAGGAGCGCGAAGACGACATCCTCCAGGGCGGCAAGCTGCTCGCCGAGGACGACGGCGACACGACGTCTGTGACGGCCGAGCTGGCGAAGTCCAAAGCGTGCGCCGACGAAAAGTCCGTCAAGCGCGACGTGTGGGCGTACGTCGAGGAAGTGTACAACGCAGACAAGCCCCAGGAAAAGGACGAAGACATGATGATGACGTCGCAGATCCGTGGGCTGGTGGCGCAGTTGGGCGAGACGTTTGAGATGCTCACGAACCGATTGGCCGAAGAAGAGGAGAGCTTGGAGCATGCGCACTCGATCTTGGTGGGCGAAGTGGAATCGATCAAGCACTTTATGGAGCGCATCGAGTCGGAAGAGTCGGCGCTCAGTGCCACGGAAAAGAACTCGCTCCAGAAAGAGTCGAACGTGCGCAAGTCGGAAAGCGACCTCGTCGAACAGCGCGCCCGAGCCTTGTCCTCCAACTACAAGTCCATCGCGTCCGAGCACGCCAAGCTTCCCGTGACCTTTGACACGGTGCGAAAGACCCGCGCGAGCCGCGAAATCCCCCTCAAGTTGCGCGACGCCGAGCTGGACGTGGCGCGCCGCCTCGTCAAGACCCGCAACTACTACGACAAGAAGGCGTGTGCCGACTTTGCCCGCAAGTTCATCGGCACCCCCGCTGTGGAACTGAACGAAGTGCGTGAAGTGCTCGACTGGCTCTTGGTCACTGTGGACGGAGACATCAAGGCCGTGGAGAAGTGGCTCACGTTGAGCAAGGCAGAACGCAAGGAGATGACGCTGTTGGCGACCAAAGCGAATGAAATCGACTGGAGCGCCGACATGCTGACCAAGATTCCTGCGTTCATTGACGTGGATGCTGTGATCAAGGAGAAGGGTGCGTCTTATATCGTCATTCATTCATTCTTCTAATGTGCTCATATATATAAATACATATGGCCATAGGAGTGAGCGCTGTGCATGCCAAGGAGCAATGGGTCGTGGAATTGATCAACGTCAAGCGTGCGATTGCGTCCAAAGACAAGGACTTGTGCGCGGTTGTGGACGAGACCGTTGTGATTGCCAAGAAAGAAGAGGCCAAGGTGTCGTCGTGCCTCGACAAGTTGAAGGCTTCGAAAGAAGAAGTGATCAACACGTTGCGCATCATTGATCGCGAAGAAGCCAAGGCCGTGCGCAACGGCAAGCCGTACTTGGACGAGTCGGCTTCGACCAGCGGGGCCGCCGCCACCGCCGCGTCCGTTGTCCAATCCAACCGCAAACCTCGAAACAGCCAGAACCGTGCCACGGAACTGGTGGTTTCGGAACCGACTATCCCAGAAGAACCGTCTGCCTCCATCACCGAAGGAGACGAAGCAGCAGCAGAACAACAAACGACCACGGCCGACAGCGAGGCCGCGGCGGTTCCTGCGAAGAACAACACGCCATCGGCGGTGCCAAGAGAGCAGTCGACCGTGGTGGAGATGACCCTATAAACGACTCTGCTGCCTTAATTGCCACATTGAAGGCGGACGGAGTCTAATGATGGATTTACAGTAGATATATTAATGGAATAACCAGTTGTGTGTGTGTCGAATGGCTTTGAAATGACGTCAAATATATTAATAAAAGTAATTGATCTACTAGTATACCTTAATGTGGTTCGAGCACTTTTTACGTTACACCTCGATGAGCACGTAGTCTTCGTGGGCTGGCAATTCATCGTTTGGTGAACCCAGGACGCTGTACCCCACCACTTTGGCCACAGGAATCATCTTGGAGCGAAACTGGCGCTGCCTGCGCCGACACAGAAGTCGTCGTTGCACGCTGGAGTTGCTTTTCCTCACGATATGGGCACCAACGACGAGAAGTAGACCCACGGCAAGCAAGACATAGTGGCTCCACGAGGACACCAATGCTGCCGTGTTCGATGCAGGATGCGGCGCTGGAGCCATCGTGGATTCGGACTCGACGGGATGCCGCGTGTGGAGGGCGGAAGCCTGAGGGAGCGCTAGCATCGAGAGCCACATGGACGATCTAACGTTATGGTAAGGAAACCACCTGTTCTCTTTGTCGACGGTGTTGGGAAATTGAAAATGTGCGCCCAACGACATCACAATATTAGCCACAGCTTGGACGCCCGGCCGCCACGTTTGGCCGACTTCACATTTGATGCTATTTTTAGAAACGTTTAACAAGATTGATTGGCAAGTTCACTGTCAATCGTATTACTCGCTCACAGTCAATCGAGTTCAATTCTGAGTGTGGCGGCTTTCTCGCTCAACCGCCGTCGTCGCACCCATTGAGATGTCGGACCAAGCCCATGACGTCCATGGGGCATGGTGCCACCAACGTCTGATCGCACACTTGATCCACGCACTGTCGACGAACGTGGATACTTGTAGTACTGTACCCATATTGTCAAATCGATTCGAAAAAGCATTTACTTCGAAGTACTAATAGTACTGTACTACGTATTATAGTATATATACTACTAATCTTTGTATCATTTAATTTGTACAAGCTTAAATTTGATGCTACCGGTATTTGGCGAAATGACTCACAAGTCCAAATTTGGATGAAATGCACAATTCCACGACATGAATTGGTTCAGCGAGTGGCGTATGTAGCCGCCCCAGTCACTGGTATTCGCAAGTCATCGCTTGTCAAACCACTTCGTATCGTGGTACGTGACGGTTGAAAGGTAGCATTGCTGGCGTTCCAACTGGATTGGCGGTCGCATCCACGACTTCCGAGTTCATGGCATGATGATGGACATGTAGCATCGACAACTTGAACGAACGATACGAATCTTACGCCCCTTGATGTGTATGTAGTAAACTTCAATGTGGAACATCGTTGTGGCTTTCTGGTCGATCCAGCAACTCCATGTGCGTCAGAATTGTCTCTCAAGTGTTCACACCTTTGGATGTACGGTAACGTTACGTGTTCAGTTTCCATGATTCTTGGACGATCGTCGTCGCATTCTCATGTTCACTGTCACTCGAAATCCCCAGAATTTGACGGCATTACATGTATTGGAATTAAAATCTAGTACTAAGTATTAATAAAAAATACTACGTATTACTAAGTATTAGCAGTATTCCGCACAAACGTCCAAACTTTTTGGGGAAAAGGACAATAACGTTATGATGATGACCTTCATTCAAATCGCCGATATAAAAATCTGCACATTGCAGTTTGTACGTAAGCTTAAACAAAGGAAATCCTCGTGATTTTCCATCTACCCCTTTATAGTTACCGACATACAAAGAGCAAGTGATTTATCGCGTGACGGTTTCATTTGATGAGGTTGTCGACGTCGCCCATTTCAGATATCAACATGGCCCTGCCATCGTTTCTCTTCGCTAGTAGCATCCTCAAAGCGTCCTCGACCGGCTCCTCCATGATTTCCATCACAGACGACGTCGTGTCCAACGTCCGGCGCTTCCGACGGCGCATCAGCTCAGGTGATCAGCGAGACACTGTCCCGGCAACGCCGCCGCCATACCCCACCCGCCATCAGTTTTAGACTAAATTAAACGGGGATATCACCTTATGTAAACAGAACGTCTTCGATGTCTCTCCTTGCGATGATCTCTTTAGCTTCGTCGCTCCCAAGCATTTCAGGATGCATGTTGCGGAGTTGTTGGGTCAGCAGTCTTGTGGCGTGATTGCCGGACATGACGGCTGCGGCTGTGGACGACGCAAAGAGAGGGTTGGAGTTCACACGCAGTCCCTTGGCGCCAACACCAGCAATGGGATCTTCCTGCACGGTGACTTCATACTGATCGCCGACGACAAGTCCGACGAACAAGTCGCCATTGATGTCTCGCTCCATCGGGGCTTTGACTGACCCATCAACCAAGGATGTTCTGACGAACAAGTCGCCATTGATGTCTCGCTCCATCGGGGCTTTGACTGACCCATCAACCAAGGATGTTCTGGAGATGCTATACACGTCCCTAGTATACGCTCCTCGAAAGACAAAGGAGAAGCAATATTCTGTGTCCACGTCCAGCCACTGCAGCACGCCGTTATGGATCGGAAACAACCGGTTGTAGTGGTTGAACTTGATACGCACGGAGCCGCAATTGTGGTCGCCTTCTCTTGGAAGTCCAAGCAACCTCGTTGCCAAAGCATGGATATCCTGTGGTAGTTGATGTGATGAAGCAAGAGTGCTCGTGACGAGCGGTGGGGATGGCAGACTGGAGGACTTGGTAGTTCTCGACTTGGTCATTGGTTTTCGCGGGGGAGTGCAAAGGGCAGGAAGAGAAGCCTGGCGCGATGCTTTTCTCGCCCGTGGATGTGGTACATCCTTGGTGTTTGACCTGCTTTGAAGGGGTTTCTTGTTCACGATCATGTCCACGTGTTGCCGCAGTTGATCACATCAAGAGGCTGTCGAATCTAAATTTGACATTGAGGGTTAATTATTTAAAATTCCACATCTTCAGATTAAAAAAATGACTTTGTCGAAACTGCGTTGTCGGGTAATAAAATACTTCCAAGTAAAATACAAATAAAACAGTCAAGACACCACTCCAACATCCGCCGAGTTTGCCGGTGAAAATGAGTCGCTGCTGTTGCATGGGATGGGTGGCTGTCTGCGCATTGCTGGGGTACGTGTATGCAGAGCGTTCTGCCACAGTCCAGTTCTCGTCCGCTGTTATCTGGCCGTCCGCGCTCGACGATACCCTCACCATCGGCAAGTCGTCATCTCATCACCAACATGGCGGCGTTCCTCTGTAATCTCATCTCGCTTGGCGTCATAGACGAGCATGAGGTGCGATCCACAGGAGACATGACCGTTGTGTACGACACCAGCATCGACCTGACCAACAAGGTACTGTGATGATGTCGAGTGTTGTAAGTGTCCTGTACACTGTGCACATCGGATGTTGAACGACAATCGGGTAGTTCGAGTGGCATCCGTCCGTGGATCATGTGGAGGTGAGCGTTGTCCGTACCCCAACACTGTCCGACACGAGTCTTTGGACCAACTACATCGGACCCACCGTGAAGACCCTGCATGAGGCCGCGGGCGTGCACGTCCGAGTGCACCACCGCGGGTCGTCGTCGGATCTGCTCGACATTCAACGGCACGCGTCGGTCGTCTTGACCAGTTTGTTCGGCACATCCGATGGGTCCATCGATGATCCCATTGCGTTTGCATCCACCGTCGTGTATGCGAATGCTTCCTGCGACCTTTCGACGTCCGTCCTCGTTCACACGAGCAGCCCAAGCCCTTCGCCCACTCAACGATCTTCGTTCTGTCTCGTGAGCTCACGCGATGCTTTGCACGTGGTTGCGCCAACGCTGTTCCCATCTACTCAACCGACTCCATTGGACTCCGCCGTCCAACGCACCATCCACCTGTACGATCGACTGTGTGTTGCACATTACTGGTCGAGTGACCGACAGCTTCATGTAGGGTCGGTGGCATTCAACTGTCGAGCGCTTGGCAAACGAGGGCCACTCACTTTTCGCTCGACAAGGTACGACGTATACTCGGCTGCGATGGTGATTGTGTTTTGATCGAGATGGTGAGACTAGTCGCAAGTGCTGCACATGCAGGAAGTGGTGTCGTCAACCGCCAAGGGTCATGACCACGTGCGCATCACGTCTCCGCAGTTGGCCAAGAAGTCTCATGTGGTTGGTTCCATTGTGCACGGTACATACAGTATCCATCCATCCCTTCGATGTCCACGACCGTCTTCTTCATACCAGTCCTAGGAGCGGCACATATCCTGTCGTTGGTACAACCGACTGACGCTGACGCCATCGTTGTGGTACCGTCCACCACTAGGCATGATGTCGTTCGGCGCGCGCATTCTCGAATGGTGGGGTCTGGTAAGTCTGTCCACATGATCACTGTGGTATGTGACATCAGGCTAGGATTTCACCAAGTGCTGCGGTTGACGGTCGAGTCCCGCATTGTTCCTGGCAACCTACACGACGAAATATGTTCGTTGTTGGTGTCGCAAACGTTTCCAACGACTGCGTATGCCGACATGGACGAGCTGCGGGTACGTCAACACATGCACAACATGCGTGCATGTGATCGTCGTGGATGATGGTAGCGCATGGAGCGCTTTCATTCGTTTGAACGAGTGGTGTCGTATGCCAAACACATTGAAATTGAACGCCCGGCCGCCGTGTCGAGCCAGCATGTCGTCGCGTTCGTCGTGTACGTCTAGGGAAAAGAACCTCGTCGGACAAATATGCATCACTCGTGATCTTGTAGGCAATTGAACCGCGAGACGTCTACCATTGACATTCCTGTGCACTTTCGGTATCAATTTCCATCGAATACAACGTTGTACCGGCCGGTGCACCTCGTGGCGCCATCGCTGCATGTTCACTGCAAAACGGCCGCCGACGTGTCAAAGTCGACGGATCAAGTAAGTTTCGATGTACCAATCGATTCGTGTGTTGACACTATGACATACATGGCTTGGTTCAGGACGAGCTCCACACAGCATTGTCGGGGTCGTCGCTGGAGGCGTTGGTACGCAGCGAACCGTATTGGTCACGGTACGCACCCTTTCTTTGCTCGATTGAGTGACGTAATGACACCTAACGTCGTAGTGTTTCGCTGGAGCAACCCCTACATGCCCTGGTGGTTCAGATTCCAGTGGGTAATCTGAACGATGGACGCTTTGTGACCGCCGTGACATTGCTGGTCAGCGTCGGGGGATGCTTGCTGCTCTACCTCACGCTGCTCAAGAAACGCGACACTGCTTCGCCTTCATCGTCGGCGGGACCGTCGCCCAGTTGGGTTCCGCGCCACACCAAGCAGGCGTAACTCGTCACCCCGTGCGCAAATAATTTTGAAAATGACTTCCGTACAGCGGTTTCATCCGTATCCGTAAGCAATTTATCCGGATAATATAAATTCCAAAGTCCTCGACGACGGCCGCGGCCATCGTGATGGAGTATTCTGGCCAGATGAGCGATGGGCTCATGCATGGACAAGGCATGCTCGCGTATCCGAACAAAGAGAAATACACCGGAGACTTTGTGCGAGGGAAGCGCCATGGCATGGGTGTCATGCAGTGCGAAGATGGCAGTGTGTACACAGGTGAACATTAGCAAGGTCAGCGCAAATAGGTTCTGACATGACGAGCGGCGTAGGCATGTGGGAAAACGATGTCAACCACGGCATGGGCACACGGCAATATCCCAATGGGAATCGCTACGAAGGCGAGTGGGTGAACGGCATGATTAACGGCGAGGTTGGGGGTTGTCATTCCACCGATCCATGATTCACCACGCTACAAATGTGACGCAGGGCACGCTGCATTATTACGACGGGGATTTTTACAAAGGGCATTGGAAGGACGGCAAGATGGATGCGCATGGCGTGTACCAGTTTCACAACGGCGACAGATACGACGGCGAGTGGGTCGAGGACCAGCGGCACGGCCGCGGCACGATAGTGTACAAGGGCGGCGACGGCCACATCCACGAGAAATATGAAGTACTACATGCTTCTTTGTACAACATTGCGCAAATATATTGAACGATGATGCGCTCGACTACTAGGGCGAGTGGTGCCGAGGCCAAATGCATGGAAACGGCGCGTACTGGTATGGCGATGGCAGTTTGTACGAAGGCGAGTGGAAAAGCGATCAGATGCACGGCAACGGCACGTATGTGTACCACAACGGCAACAAGTACACTGGCGAATGGGTTCACGACCTCAAAGTACAAGATATATATATACATATATAGAATGCAGCTGAAACATGAGGTTGGTGTTGTAGCAAGGCCGGGGCGTGATGGAGTTTACAAATGGCGAAAAGTACGATGGCATGTGGCACATGGATGTGTTTCACGGGTTGGGGTGTTTTCGAGATATCTTGGTACAACTTACAATATCTGGCTTCTTGGCGTACCTTGGCTGGATCGTCCAAGACTTCCAACATGATACACTTAATTAGGGCCACACATACACTTGCCAATGGGTGGGTGGGATCAAGCAAGGCAAGGTATGTACTGTATATATATTGTTCGTGTGTGTATTATTGGTAGCTTGTATATGTCGTTCTCGACGAGCCAATGCTTGGCAATAACTATGTAGGGGGAGCTCGTGTTTAAGAACCGCGATGTATTTGTGGGCGAGTGGGGTCGCGATGGCAACGTTGCGTGTGGCGTGCTCACGTTTGCAAATGGCGACAAGTACGAGGGCCAGGTCGTGGGCTATATGCGCCATGGCTCGGGCACGTTTTACTGCAAGACTGACGGCAAGAGCTACCATGGTGAGTGGCAGCACAACAAGAAGCACGGCAGCGGTAGTCTGCGGTTCCCAAGTGGCGAAGTGCTGAGGGGCGAGTGGAAAGAAGGGAGTTTGGTTCCTGGCTCGTTGGTGCTGACGTTGGCCCCGGCATCGCCGTGGCTCGATCCATTGTATTAAATTAAACCCCCCCCCGTCGTCGTTGTCGTCGTCCCGTCAACATGTGAAATGCGTGGCACACTGCTTTGGGTTTGGCTCACACACACACACATGATTGCTACTAGTCTAGTTTGTTCGACTGACTTGTCGTTGGTTATGGCACGCGGGCAAAGGCGTGGAGGTTGCTGGGCACACTGGAGCTCTTGCGCTTCTTGACGGGAATGCGCTGGATGTACCCGCGGAGCGACGATTGGACTGTGGACGTGCGAAGGACGGCCTTTGTCATGTTTCGCGACCGGGATACGGACTCCATGAGCAGTTTGCGCGTGCTCAGTTTTGGGAGCTTGAGGGACCTCGTGGGTTTCGGCGGCCGGTGGACGGCCATGGGCGCGCTCACGACCACCGTGAACGCGGACGCTTGGATTGCTGACGTGGGTTCCACGGACGTCGAGGCGTCGTCGTCGTGGGACTTAGCTCTGCCGCTGGCCCCCGAGTTGAGCAGTTCCAGGTTTGGCACACTCACAACGCTCATGCGGTGGCGGCCGTCATACGTGTGAATGGTGTCGTTTTGAATCGGATGCATGTCGTAGAGGGGACCAGTGTTGGGCTGAAGGTGCACGGCAGATTGTTGCCTCGAGCTAGAAGCGAGGGGGGAGGAGGTCATGGATGCGGACGCTGCGGCGGGGATGCCGGCGGCAACAGGTGTGACCGTCGAGCTTGAACTGGTGAGCGGTGGGGGGGTTGAAGCTGTGACGGGGGACTGGTTGGTCGCTTTGAACGATTGCCCAATCAACGAGTTGCGTCGCCCTGGCGTGGGTTCGCTCGGCAGGATCCGAACACCGATCACAGGCATTTCCTCGAGAGCTACGCGACTCTTGATAATAACGCAATACCGCGGCGCGTTGAACGCCCAATACGTGTTGCGTATCATGTACACGGTGAGGATCTGCAGCCGCTGGATGGCAAAGTCGTACACGTTGAAGCTCCACGTGAGGGTGACGTTGCCTTCGGCTTGGCAGTTTGCATGCACAAGCCCATGGAACAAGTCCATGCGCAGCGACCGGTCCATAAACCCGCTGTCCAGCCCCATCATGATCACCCCCGCAAACAGGCACGCCATGATCACAAACAGCATGTACTTGACCATATTGCGCATCGACAACGGATACGCGTCGTACGCTATGACCGCCGAGAACCCCAAAATGCCAAACACGTTGTATACGATCACCACGACATCCCAGTCGTACAGCGCCATGATGGCTACGGCGTACAGGATCTGCATACATGTGTTTCGTCAGCATATATACATACGTCAACACGAAAAGCTCAACACGACAGAAACAAGGCCAAAGGCAACCGTAAATTGCAGTACAGATGGATGGTATCACACACACACAACCCTGTTTCCATGTCAAGTACTACCCCCCCCTCAAGCCAAAGGGCACCCCCCCAATCACGGAACCACAACGGGCATGTATATATATATATATATACATGGATTGTACCGCTTGAGTGATGAAGAACCACGCGTCAAAGTACCCAAGGACTGTGACCGTCATGCGCCAGTTGAGCTGGGACCAAAAGTACAGCACGAGCCAGAGGATGGCAAACATGGAAATCAATCGACACACGGTTTCGCTGGTAAGGGTTAAAAACAGCGACTGGAGGGGCGAGTTGTACAGAAGGCACCATAGTGTTGTGATCCAAGCGATCTTGGTGGCAAACGGTTTGTACAGCGACCAGTAGTACGCGATCGTGGTGCCAAAGAGCTTTTCAAACACGGACGTGTTGACTTCGTACTCGGACAGTTCTGTGAATGGGTGGACAGCGCAGAGGATGCCTTTGATGGCAGCGGTGGCGAGCCCGCTCTCGTGTTCAGCGCGGGATGCCACAAGTCCGACGGACCGCCTGGACCCCGTCGATCCTAGCAACATGACAACATGGTTGGTTGGTTCCGTCATGACGGGGAACGCACCAGACTGTTTTAGCTTGATCGGTCGAAAGTTGGACGCGTTGAAATACTGACGACCAGAGCCGCTCAAACTGGAGCGGCGGCGATGGTAGCGGTAGACTCGATCGAGGTATTCCTTGAGTGTGAGCATGGACCGGACTTCCTCTTCTGTGAGCATTGGTTTGGCCCGGAGAAAGTGGGACGTTGCTGTGAACAGCCTCGTTCCCACCGACTCCATCGCAAGACGGCAAGACGGCAGCAAGCGTTGACGTGATGATTTATTCTTAGCCGCTTGGTCGTCTATATTTAGATGCTCTGAGGTTTGGAATGTCTAACGTTATGTATCAACTATGCTGGTGCATCATGTGAGCGTGCCACGTCATTTTGGAAAAGTTGGAAAAACCTCTGCAAATGCATATCTAGAATCAGAGTGTTGCGTCAACGCAATCGCACCAAGCACGAAACAAGATGGTGCCGTCCAAGTTCCGTTTTGACAACCAAGTCGCAATCGTCACCGGTGCCGGCGCCGGACTAGGTCGAGCCTATGCTGTTTTGCTTGCTGCGCATGGAGCCAAAGTGTGCGTCGTCGGATCATTGGCGTCATCTCCTCCTCATGTGGTTATTCCATGCACAGGGTGGTGAACGACGTGGGGGGTACTCAAGGGGACAAGCCGCGTCCAGCCGATCAAGTAGTGCTCGAGATTCGGGCTCAAGGCGGCGTCGCGGTACCAAACTACGACTCTGTCGTTGACGGTGCGCACCCACCCTATAGTTACCGCAATCCGACTTACTCGAATCATATTCAATTGATGATGCTGCCGCGTATCTCCAGGGACCAGTGTGGTGGCGACGGCTATCCAAGCCTTTGGTCGCGTGGACATTGTGGTCAACAACGCTGGCATCCTGCGGGACCGAGCCTTCCACAAGATGTCTCGAAGCGAATGGGACGCCGTGAAAAGCGTGCACCTCGACGGAAGTACCTACATATCTTCCAACAAACATATCGAAAAATAATCCTTCGTCCTGTAGGTTTTGCGGTGACGCACGCGGCATGGCCTTACATGCGAGGCCAGAAGTACGGTCGCATTGTCAACATAACGTCTGTGAATGGCTTGTACGGACAAGCTGGGCAGGCCAATTATGGTACAAACCACGTGATATCTCAGTTTCACGACAACAGTCGAGTAACCACGGGTACTTGTTGTAGCGGCTGCAAAGGCGGGCATGGTGGGGTTCACCAAGGCCCTGGCCAAGGAAGGTGTGCGTTCGAACATCAAAGTGAACGCGGTGGCGCCTGGCGCGGGCTCGAGTATGACTGCCACGATCCTTCCCGAAGTGGTGGGGGCTTCTCTCGTTGGGGGCGCGGCTGACGTTGGTTTAGGTGGTGAAGCAGTGGAAGCCAGAGTACGTAGCCCCGACCATCGCATTCTTGTGCCACGAGAGCGCCCCGTGCACCGGCGCCGTCTTCGAGTGCGGCGGCGGGTGGACTGCCCAAGTTCAGTTCACTCGGTCTGAGGGGTATTTCTTCGACTTGGAGAAGCCCATCTCGATCGACGCGGTGGCCGACCACTGGAAGGACATCACGGACTTTGCCAACGCGACCAACCCCGAGCTGGACGAAATGACGCCCCAGCTCAAACAAATCATGTCCAAGATCTAAAATCGCATGATATTAGTTTGCTCTCATGTGTCGCCTCCATCAAGGACCAAGATGCACACTGCTGCATTGTAAGAGCGTTGTGGATAATATATAATTAGGCGAATAATAACGACAACAACGCGCGTTTGGCATGGGTTTATGAAAATACAGGAGTTGGGGGGCTCACTCCATTCCGCCCAGGAAGCATGCTGGCCCCGATGACTAGGCGTAGTCCACAGATGTGAACGCATGGTGCCAGGAAGGGTTGGTTCAGCAAACACATGCGCTACATGATGTAACAGCACCGACAGGGATGTAGGCCCTACATCCCTATCGGTGTTGTCCTCTTGAGCCTCCCTCCATCCATCCCTCGAACAAGCCGAACCTAACCACAGATTTTTCGCGGGCAAGTCTAGCACACGGGTTACATGTCTCCAGACAGGTTCTCATGTGTGCAATACGCCGACAAGCTCAACGTGCCAACAGCACAGAGTACATACACCACGAAATGCAATCATCATTGGCTGGGGGGGTGTAAAGGACTTGACGAGGACTCAAATTTCTTGTGACACACTCAAAACAATTATATGTATAGGTTGCAGCTTATATGTCAGGTCATGTTGACTTCACATGACATTGGTAACTCGCGTTCGAAAGTTTAATACTAACTTACTAGTAACTTACAAGGATAGATGTAGGACTACGTACCCAGGTTTTCTGATTATGATACAGGTTGAGTTCTGAAAAGGCAAGTTCAAAATCGGAAGTGAAACCGCTTCTTGTGGAAACCGTTTCACATTTGGAACGGGAGTATTGGGAATAAAGCTGTACTATTAATAGTACAGTCAGTACTACTGTATTAATAGTACTCGACGTAATATACTACTAGTACTACGTATTAATAGTACAAACAACGTAATCTAATACAACTAAGTTTGTACTACGTATTAATACTAATATTCAATGCATCTACTGTATACCAAGCTCCTATTCCTGGATAAATTTACAGTGGATGGGTATGTCATGTGCCTTGAGTCTCAATAATGTCCCATTGATTCCTCTTGTCATGAAAAGTACGAGGCCATTTCTATGACGAAGTACTTTTACTTGGGATTTGTATCGATCATCAATTCATGGGTTCGTGTTAAGTACGCTTGGGATTTGTATCGATCATCAATTCATGGGTTCGTGTTAAGTAGTGTGGATGTCCACTCATATGGTTTCCACATGTACATGTTTGGGTTGTTTGCAACCCGGTCTAAGATACATGTACTACGTGGTACTTGCTTTCATGAAGGGTCAATCAGTTTGCATTTGTTTCCCAGATACATCTATACCCTATGCGTCTCGTCGCCACCGCCGCCGCAGCCATCCTCGTAACCTTCCTCGGCACTTCTGTCGATGCCATCGCCCCCATTGAGATCAAAGGCAATCGCTTGTTTGAGTACGGCACCGGCAAACCGTTCCATGCCAAAGGACTCGACTACTACCCTCGCCCCAACTCGGGCGAATTGAACGTCAACAACTTGGACTTCTTCACAGACGACCACGAGCACATCTGGAAGCCCCATGTTGCCGAATTCATTGCACTCGGTATCAACGCCGTTCGGTTGTATGCCGTGGACTCATCCAAGAGCCACGACAAATTCATGTGCGCCTTGTCCGAAGCCGGTATCTACGTCTTGGTGGATTTGGCCGCCAGTTGCGAGGATTGTGCGATTACAAAGGACCCGTACCCGGCTTGTTACCCAGCCCCTCTCAAGACCCGCGGCCAACAGATCATCGCGGCGTTCTCCAAGTACAACAATGTGCTGGTGGGTGCTTTATCCTATCGTCACATGTCTACAGCATGAGTCTCAGATCGTTCCCCGTAGGCATTCAGCGCAGGCAACGAAGTGAACCACTACGTAGACTCTATGGAAATCAGCGCGCCATGCCAGAAGAAGTTCATCAAGGACATGCGCGCGTACATTAGCTCATGTGCAACCAACATGCGCTACATTCCCGTCGGAGTCGTCCTCGCCGACCACCAGCGCTCAAAAAACGCACTCTACTACGCGTGCCGCACCGACCCCACCGACGAATTGGAAAATGCCGAATGTAGGTCCACAGACCACCTACATTCTCACCTGAAACCGATTTTGTTAGGGTACGGGTTGAACGCGTACCTGCAATGCGACCGGACGGCATCCCCGTGGCATGTCGGCCCGGGGTACGACAAACTCCTGAAAGACTTCACATCGTACGAGTTGGCAATTCCCACGATCCTCACTGAGTTTGGCTGCCTCAACGTCGGCTTCCCCACTGTCGACGGCTTCCAGGCGCAACGAACGTGGGTGGATGCGGCGTGGCTTCTCTCGCCAACGTTTGCCGACGTCTTTGCCGGTGGCTTTGCGTTTGAGTTCACGACCGAAAAAGCTAACGCCGAAAAGGACTCCCCGTTCCCGTTCAAGACATTCGGCCCACAGAACTACGGCCTCGGGTACCTTGAGCCGGAGACGTGCGACGCCGACAAAACGCCGTGCGTGTTTCAACGCATGCCCAACTTTGACTCCCTCGCCGCGGCGTACAGAGACGCGTCCACGGCCGGCCTCCCTGAGCGATCTTCGTACTCTCCCTCGCACACGAAGCCGCCCCAGTGTCCCGCGGGAGTTCGACCGATCGGTGAAGTGCACTGGTCAGCGGATTCCGAAACCGACGTGCAGTGCCCAGACCTGACGCAGACACCGCTGTGTCCGGGGGATATCATCAACACTGGCAAGGCCGGCCCACCCAAGCCATCGGTGACGACGGAGGACCCCGTCAAAGACGTGCCCACCGAGACTCCTACTTCGACCCCATTGCCCACCACAAATTCGTCGACCCCATTGCCTACCACAACTTCATCGACCCCATTGCCCACCACAAATTCGTCGACCCCATTGCCTACCACAACTTCATCGACCCCATTGCCCACCACAACTCCTGCGGAACCATCCCCGCCCAGTAACGTTACTGACACTGTGACACCATCGACGGCATCCCCGCCCAGTAACGGCACTGGCACCGTGACACCATCGACGGCATCCCCGCCCAGTAACGGTACTGGCACCGTGACACCATCGACGGCATCCTTGCCCAGTCCAGGCAGCACCCAAGGCAACCCTGCCACAGTGGCCGCTCCAGGTGTTGTGGGGGTTGTGGTCATGGCGACAGTCGCTTGGTTGATGGTGTGGGTGTAAAGTTACCCTCCATGTGCGTGTAGCGATGACACTCCCAGATTTGTATGTTGTTACGGAACCGAAGCAAGACTGTCTGTCTTGCTTGCGAGAGCGTGCCACGTCATTTTTCTTAGTACCACTCTTATCCATAACGATACTTGTCCAATTCAACATCGAAATAGTGTGTGACTTGAATTAGTGTGACACTGGAGGAAGTTTACTAACAAAAGTCAGCACAAAGAGTCAATCGATGAATTTGGCGAATCAGCACAAAAATTACTGTTACTACGTAGTACTACGTACTAGAAATCGAATGAGCAACACCAAATTGGCAGACAATCGATCGACCAATCAAAACCCAGAACACAAATAAAGTGGTCAATAAAATTCACGCTTCAACCAATTCAACACCGAGCTTGTGAGTGTGTGACTGATTTTACAGTACAGTAGGATGATCTTTATAACGTTGAAAACCAATTACTTCGTACTACGTAGTACATTACAGTATAATCACTTTTTCCGAGCCGCTGCCATGGAAGGAACGAAGCTCAGCATGGATGCATCAGATTCAAATTCCGAATCCAAAACTTAATACGTTCTGCTACAAGCATCAAGTTTCAGAGGCGAAATTGGATTTGTGTCGAGGAGATTCGAAGGTTCTGCTGAGGCACCTCTCTTAACTGTAAATGTATCAACAATGGATCATTTACGTTAGCGTAGAAACCCAATTTAAGGTACTCGAACCATTTACGTAATGGTGCACTTGAATCAGCAATGAAATGTAGTCAAAATACTGGGAGATAAACCTCCTTAATCTAATACACGAAGTGCGTTTTGAGGTAACGAACGGTCAAATTTACATTTTCCAAGCAAAGTTATACTTATTTCGATGATCAATTTATGATACACAATTTTACCTTAATTTATGTATACTCAAATGCTTCGAAAGTGCGTGTTTAGGGTAATTCTCTGATTTCTGCTTCCTGATTGGCTGTTTTGCGTATATCATAAATTGATCAGTGCATCATAAATTGGCTTGTTAATGGAATTCGCAAGGTGAGCCACCTTGCTCCTTTTTAATATCCAATCAGAGTCCATCACACCTTGCTTCTTACACATGATTGGCTATAATACTGGCAGAAGAGGTTACAATTTTGAACAACTGTTTGAATTTTGTAGAGCTTTGTGTGATGCTGCTCGAGAGAATTGTGTACTGATGAGTGCACTCGGGCTATATCCAATGTGGTTCTCCCCTTACAGCTAACATTATGTTGTGGCCTCGGTTGGGTCGCAATACCGTGACGGCTCTGGTGCGCCACCCGCCCGCGCAACCACGTAGGGAGGTTGTATGTCACCGACACGGACTGATGGTGGAATGAGGGATGACCACATTCATTGGTTTAACAGGCAAGTGGTGATGTTACTGAAGTCTAGACCTGTTCGAATTGACCGAGTCCGGGATACCACATCGCATGATCTTGCTCTCATACACAGCCTACATAATTATCTCAATGCTCCTTGCATCAACCGCCATCACATGAGTAGAATACTACGTAGTATATCGCAACAGGGTGTGACGAATCTACGCAGCGATTTTCGTGATTTCACGGCATCTAATTGGACAAATTGGACATTTTGAATTCGCAAGGTGTGTGACCTGCCTTGCGAATTCCAAAAAGAGACAGACACATGAAAAATAAAAATCATCAATACAAACTTGAAGATATATTTAATAGAATCTGTACAATTTCCGAATTATTTATGTAATTCGCAAGGTGGTTCACCTTACGCAGCATACAATATTGCCTATTTCACCTTGCTTTTTCTGGTTAATGATCATTTACTTTATACAAAAGTCAGGACAAAGAATCCATCGATAGATTTAGCGAATCAGCACAAAAATCCAAATTTTTTGTAAAAGAACAATACATAAGTTGATATAAACTATCAGAGGATACCTGCCATACCAGTACTTTAACGTTACCATACTGGTAACTGTACGTATGATTTCATTTTAATAGTTTTCCCTACTATTCCCTACTATCAATAGTACAGTGCCCGCCACATGGATAGAAACAAAAACATTTTGCCGGATAGTTCTCGTCCAATCACGATTTACAACAAACCAAAAGTCGCAAACGAATCCTTATGATTGGCGGAATATTTTCATGTGTAATTTACCGCTCTTTGCCCATCACTGCGTCCAAAAAGCGCGCAAAACGAAAACAGCATCATTCGGTACTGCGCCACATAGATAGAAACAGACTCGATTCAGCCTTCTGTACGTACCTAGACTTTGTACATAGTGCTCATAATGCAGTTAGACTATACTATAAGCCTACGCTGCCACTATAATGGGTCAAGGAACGATATTAAGCCCCATGGAGCG